ATCCATCTATCCATCCATCTATGGCCCTACATTTTTCGCTTTCATCTGGACATCCGGTCTATTACAAAAACCACACAGACATATCGATAAAGCTATACTAGGTGAAATTGTACAAATATTTCGACCCAACTTTTGGCATGCATCGATATTGACTGAAAGGAAACAAGTCGAACATCTATGATTCGATCTTTTTTCAAGTTAAAAATAAAAGAAAACAGCTGATCATCGTGACAGTTAAATTCCTTCGTTTTACAACACATCGCACACGTTTTCGGGCACATTCTTGCTGCGAAATCTTTAACCTTGTTGCATAGTTCAGGAATCTTATAGTCTTGATCCCTATAACAAATTGCTGATTGCTGATAAGGGACTTCCACCAGTCATCATTTCTGTATTAAGTTTTCCACCACAGGTTCATGTGGAAAAAAAATGTTGCTGGGAACACATATACTCTTCATGTCGAGCCGATTTATTACTCGATTCGCTAATTTTTGAAATACTTCTGAGATATAGGTGACAATAGAAAATGCCATTCAAATTTAGCACAATCACGATCAAATTATTTGAAAAATAATATAAACTATTACAGTCATTCACAAGCAATTTATAATATTTAAAAAATTCATACTCTCTCAAATTGTTTACTAAATCATCAGCATTCGTACTAAATCATCAGGAGCGCGTTGATCATAAACAAATATCGATGAACAAACTGGATCCTCTGGACAAGAATTCACAGTTGGTCGTTTTTTATCACCAACTAGTTTAACACATTCTTCGATCTCCACATTGCCTGCAAATGTGAGAGACAAAAGGGAAAACGGTAGGATAATAGCAAACATAATTTTAGATTCCGACTAACAATTTCATAAACGCATACTTTTATACAATCTTTTAATAATTGTTCTTGATGAGCGTCTGAACTTTATATTTAATGAATGAAGGAGAAAAAAAGCTGAAAAAACAAGTGACATCAAACTTAACACCAAAAGCTATTCATAGAGAATGCTTTTAAAAGAAATAAGCCAGTTTGTTTATGCATAATTTGTTCTCTATTACAATTATATAACATTCAACTATTATTTATATTTCCGGTATTTCCGGTGATTTCCAATAACGGAAGCGCGGCTAATTCCTCACATAATTTATGGATTTCAATAGTGCATTTTATTATTATTATTGCAATAATATTAATAAAAATATAATAAAGTGTTAAATAATAATAATAATAATAGTGATAATTATTAAAATGGAAGGAATATTGT